GTTTTTTTGTTTCCAGTAACGGACTTATTACTGATGTTGCTTTACTGACTCATATTTTACCATAAACTATACCTTTTTTTCTTTTTGCTATTCATGCTGTATTTTTCCCCCAAATGCAATCCCTTCTGAGAATAACACATTCCCCCAAAATTCCCTAAATGGTGTAACAAATCATTCTTTGGAGATAGTTTGACCCAGGTGTGACGTCTTCTCTCTTGCCATTAAATAGTTGTTTGGCTTTGACATGATCGGTCACTAGTTTGTGTTAAATAGACTTGGTTTTAAGTTGGCATTCAGCTCCCCTAGCAAAGGCAGGGATGCATTGTCTTTCTTCCTACCAGTCTTTTCTTATAGTATTTAAGATTATATTATATGTTTTTTCTCCCTTTGCTATTCCAAAGCACTAAGGTCTTGGCCATGCGTCTTTCCTCTGTATGCTTGATTTTATTGGGTAACATTGAGAGGAACATAGCCTTGGATGAAATTGTTGTGAAAAAACAAAAACAATCTTCCCAAACACCCCACAAAAGAAAACCCTTATGGTTTTACTGTTCTATCAAGGATTTATTGTCAAATTCCATTTCAGCAATTCCAGACATCATGATTAAAAAGTGGATGCGGGCTCAGGAAAATGTCCTGTTGTTACTTTGAGTCAATTGCTAACTCAAAACGTCCTGTGATAAGAATGTGAAGAGGACTCCATGAAGTGCTGGGATCTCTGTTACAGCATCGTGGCTCTGAGAGGGACATTCCTGCACAGCAGATGAATCTCATCCTACCAGCCCAGGGAGTAAGCAGGGCTCATTTCCCAGCAGGCTGGATTATGACTGAGCAAAAAGGTCAATGAATCAATGAATAATCAATACACCCTCATGGAATATCATACTAATGCTTTTTCCTGACTAACCACTGCTTCTATTAATTTTAAGAGTTCAGTATTGCAGGGTGGGATTCATTCACTCCAGCTTCACCTATCTGCAATGCAAATGACCCATCTAACCTCTTTGGACGTCTGTTTTAGAATGAGATGGCTCAAATCCTACATGTGCTTATTTCTCTTCATGGGGGGGTTGGACTAGATGATCTTTAAAGGTCCCTTCCAACCCAAACTATTCTGTGATTCTATGAGATGAATTTCTACTCTGTAGAGTTCTGCATATGGCCAGATGAATCCCATCCAGACAGATTTCTCTTTGGTTTATGCTTGGTATTTTGCTGCTTCCATTGAAAAATGGAGGAGAAAACTTCAGGAGCCTACAGAACATTACAAGTAAATAAGTTTTGCAACATCAAAGGCAATGGGCATGTTTTAGAGGCAAACCCACTTCAGCAGCAAATAGGTAATAATTCTGAATGACTTCATTGATACAATCCCATTTAAACAGTCATGCTAGCATATAATCATAGTACTTCAGTTTTATTCCTTAGAGCATTAGGAAATAAAGACAAATTGCCTAAATAAATAGAGAAACTATTCACCTTGCTCCAGATGAAACTCTTGTGTCAAAGTTCCTCACTGAAGACATTTTGCTGTTGATTTTAATGGCACCACAGTTTTAACCAAAAAGTCTCTACATCATTATGTTGACGCAAAAGGAGGATATTTTGCGACCTGTATCCAAAACATTGAAATACTATGATTATATGCTACTATGACTGTAGGACAGGACACAATCCCTTCAGAGGTATACCTGTTGCAGCACAGACATAACCATGGTCACAGACGCTTCAAGATGTACCTGCTCTGATGTGGACTTATTCATGGCCACAGATGCTTCAGGGTGTCCTGCTCCCGCATGGACTGATCCACAGGTCACAGTCCCTTCAACTTGAGTTCACGCTGGAGTTCCAGCCTGTCCAATACAGCCGCACAGAAACAGCAGCGATGCTCTGAGCATCTGCCAGCACAGGCACATGGCCACTGCTGGTACCAAAATGTTCCCAGGCACTTGTAAGATGACAAGCAGTACAGCAAGCAGCAAAAGCAAAAAGCAGCCACTAACGAGTACTTGAATCTAATATACAGTAAGGCAAGAAAGCCCCGTGACAAGCACAGGAGCCTGCTGATTAATAACCAAACAGCAATAAGAGCTATAAATTCAATCTAGCACATTCCAATCAAATCTGTCATTATCTCAAGCCCTTCAAGCCCCACATTGGGTGCCAAAAAAGGACTGCCGTGGTTTAACCCCAGCCGGCAACTAAGCACCACACAGCCACTTGCTCACTCCTCCCGCAGTGGGGTGGGGGAAGAGAATCGGGAGAGTAAAAGTGAGAAAACTCATAGGTTGAGATAAAAACAGTTTAATAACTGAAATAAAATAAAATAATGATGATGATAATAATAATAGTAACAACAATTTGTAATGAAAAGGAAAATAACAAAGAGAGAGAAATAAAACCCAAGAAAAACAAGTGATGCAAATGAAAACAATTGCTCACCGCCAAACGACTGATGCCCAGCCAGTCCCCGAGCAGTGGCCCCCCCGCCAACCTTCCCCCTAGTTTTATTGCTGAACATGACGTCATATGGTACAGAATATCCCTTTGGTCAGTTGAGATCAGCTGTCCCAGCTGTGTCCCCTCCCAACTTCTTGTACGCCCCCAGCCTGCTCACTGGCAGGGGCGGGATGAGGAGCAGAACAGGCCTTGACCCTGTGTGAGCACTGCTCAGCAATAACTGAAACATCCCTGTATTATCAACACTGTTTCCAGCACAAATCCAAAACATAGCCCCATACTAGCTACTGTGAAGAAAATTAACTCTATCCCAGCCCAAACCAGCATACCAGGCTGTAGACAACCAAAATTTACATATATGAACACCTTGCTTTTATACATCTGTCTCCCCTAGAGTAGATACGGGATTGGATTGGTGTCCAAGCTAGTGTATATTGTGCCAAACTCATGTCAATGTTCATCACAAATCCCTAGCAGTAATACTCAAGTTTACAGCTGCCTGACGCTACCTAGTTCTGGTAGCAAGGGTGAGCTGTAATTTTCCCTTCATGTCCATCAATTAGACATCCGTAGCTCTGAGCCCCCTCTTTATGGGAGACCTTCTGGTCCTTTGTTCAAAGAGGAGAACATTCCTTCTCATAGGAAGGATAAGAAGGAAGATGCAATTCTCTCTGCGTTTTGCCCCTCTGCTCCCAATTTTTTCTGCAGTGGTTATCCAAGAGTCCAACAGCCAACCCATGATCTCAGTGATTCAGGGTCAGCTCTCAGGATTTCAAATCACAGGTAAGATATGCACAGAAAAAAACAGTCGGGGGGGGAGGAGGAACCAGAAGCCAGCGTTTCTCCTTCCAGTGAGTACAGCTGGGTTATGGGGTTATGCTTTTTCTCTGGTCCACCAAAGTTGAATTTTGAATTTGAAGTTTGAATT